GGACCCAGGTAAGATGAATGACTTCCCCATTGCCACCCATGGACCAAGCACACTGGGTGTCCCAGCCCTCCCCACCCTCAGGGCCACAGTGTGCCTGGTGGCCCTGGGTCATGTCCATTCCCTCCCCCATGGCTCCAGACTATGGATTGTGGTCATGATTGTGGTCGGGTCTTTCTTCCTGAGTAGGATGATGTAGGGCTGAGGAGGGACGGGAGAATTAACACAGAACTTAGCCCAGGCCCTCAGGCCTTTCCCTTGTCCCCATCTGACAACCCAGGCCAGGGCCCAGCTGGCCCAACACACAGTGAGGCCTCCCCCTGTAGGAGCAGGGCTGACAGTGCATGGAGAGCCCAGCACCTGTGCTCCCAGGGGGCCCAGGGCAAGTAGGCTGGGGTGGGGGGGAACACAGACAGAGGAGGAGGTTAGATATTTGGAGGTTCAGTGTGGGGAGATGTGGAGCTACCACGTGGACCTGCCCCCACGATTCCTGCACCCCCAGTGCTGCCCTGAGACAACATTAGTGAGACCAGGAGAAATTCAGGGGCAGGACCAGGCCCACTGCCCCGAACCCCACTACCCCTGCCTCTGCCCTCTGGCTGCTCTGGTTCATACAGAAGGAGAACCTCTCTGATGGAGGGAAAGTCTTGGGGTAGGTTGGCCTGGGCCCTGCCTCTTGGGTTCCCAGGTAACAATGCAGGTCTGAATGTCCTGTCTGGGCCATACTGGGCACAAGGCTGCCACTCCCCCTTGAGGTCCATCTCCTGAGTGAAGAGACCCTCCTGGGCCCTCTGCCTCCCTTCCTCCTGCTACTGCTGCTGCTCCTCAGAGTCTTTTGGGAGACACACTCTCTCTGTCAGGCACCTCGAAGAACCTTGTGTCTGAGTGGGGCTGAAGCCTGGCAGGGGCCTTGAGCAGAGACAGAGTCAGAACCCAGAAACTCAGTGGAACTGGGTTGCCCTGTACCCAGACCCCAGGCCTGCTGGTGCTATCCAGCCTCTGCTTGGTTCCTTCCGGGACGGGGCATCTCCACTGCCCACGGCAGCCCAGCAGCCTCTCAGCTCCTTCTCTGGGGTCCCAGCCAGGGGCCTGGTCACCAGGAGGAACTGCTCCAGCACAGAGAACACCTCATGCAGCTGCAGCAAAGGCCACTTCTGTGACGCACAGGACGGGGACCACTGCATCGTGTGCCGGCCCCACACCGTCTGCCAGCCTGGCCAGAGGGTGCTGGAAAGAGGTGAGCTGGCAGGTGACAGATGCCCCCCATAGCCCAGCCCCAGGTGTAGACATCTGGGCTGCTCAGGGTTGTCTGACGGACAGAAATTGTGGCCAGCCCCAGGCCCGCCCACCCAGCCTGTCCTGGCTGCAGCAAAGGATGGAAAGGGGGCAGGGGAGGACAGGGACGGTGGGGGAAGTAGGGAAGGGCCACTGCTGTTGGCTCCACCTCAAAGTTAGGGGACCCTGATGTCATGTCTCCCTCTCAGGCATCAGGCAGGGACCCAGATGCACACGTGGGACTGCTCAGTGCCTCAGTCCACTCTCACTGGGAAGAATGTGAGTCCCCAGCTCACCACCCCTGGCCAGCGCTCCCTCCACAGCATTTGTCCAATACTATGGCATGGAGCGGGTCCTGGACTCTTAAAATCTCAGCCTCTTGATGTCCAGGGAAGATCCGAGCCCACCATCACAGACTCTCATCCAGCACCTTCCCTGCCAGTCCCTCTGCCAAGCTGCAGAGCAGCAGAACTGGAATAACCTCAGAGAGACAGGCCCAGGCCCTGCAGGACAAAGCACTCTTCGCCTCCTCATGTTCCTCCCTCTGTCTCTCAGGCACCGAGAGCCAGGACACGGTGTGTCAGGACTGCCCACCAGGGACCTTCTCTCTCAACGGGACCCAGGAGGAATGCCAGCCCTGGACCAGGTGGGTGCCAGGGAGGGGCTCCTCCACACTCTCCTGGGAGGTGGTGCCCTCCCCCAGCAGAGACCCAAGGCCCCACCCCCGGTGGTATTCAGTGGCACCTACCAGCATCCAGGAGAGCCACTCCCCAGGGGTGAAGCCTGTGCCTTGAGGGTCACAGGCTGCAGTGGCCCCAGACAGAGTCTCAGCAGTTCCAGCTTCCTGGAGGTCAGGGTGGACTTTACCTGGAGCAGACGTGGAGGGGAGCGACTGCCACATCCTGTCCCCTGTGGCCTGGGGTGGTCCTGTGTGACAAGGCTATCTTAATGTGTTCTCCGTGTTTTAGAGTTGGGGGAAACTGCTAGGGGTGCTTTTCAAAGTGAAGGCTGGCCTCTTCCAGCTGCATGACCTCTTCTCAAGAGGGCACAGACCCCAGAACTCCCCTGGCACTCAGGGTCTGTGAGAGGAGCCCAGGGTTAGACAGGTGTGGCTGCCCATGGAGGGGTGCAGGCCTCTCTCTCTTCTCTGCTCCCTTGTCCTCTATTCCCAGCACTGTCCCCTACGTCTCTGGCACTGGCTGTCACTGTCTCTGCCCCAACGTCAGTTCTCCTTCCTTCTGCTCTGACTCTGGGCTCTGGCCTCCTGACCACCTCGGCCCTCCTTCTCTCTCTCTTCTCTCATTTGCTATCCTGTTCCCTGCCTTTCTTCCTTCTCTCTGTTCCCTAGTGGAGCTTACAAACTCAAACCTGAGGTCGCAACCCTGAGCTGTGACCAGGAAGCCTCTCTGGGCCCCTATAAGTCAGAGACCCCTGTCTAAGTTGAGCAACATTTGAGGGGGTCTCAATGCCTGCCGTGGGCTCCGATCTCCCTGATCCTCTCCCTGCTCCTCAGGTGCAATGCTTTTCTTGAGACAGAAGCAGGACCTGGGACCAGTCGCACAGATGTCACCTGCTCCTCCTGGAGGCAGGGCCTTTTATGGAGCAGTCTGTTGGTCTTTACTGTTCTTTGCATACTTGGCATCATAGTCTATGCATGTGTGACCAGAAGAAGGGCATCCAGAGAGCAACACAGTTCAACACTGCCGTCACTCTGGACCAAAAGTTTCCCATCTCAGCGACCATCCACCATTCTGTCGCTCCAAGGTCTTAGGGGGAGGTCCACAAAACCAACTAAACGTATTGTCTCCCATTCATGGCCAGAGGATTCACCCTGGTTGCATTCTTCCTGCCCTGCTTATTTTGACTACAGTTCAGAGGATTTCAATTCAGAGGATATAGATGATTTCCTGCCCAAAAAGCCACTGCCACTCCCTACCGACTCAGTAGCAGGAACCTTGACTCCGGGGAATGAGGAGGAAGCCCAGGACAAGCTATGTGAGACTTGAAGAGGCTCTGGGTTACAGGATCAGTAGCTGCCTTGTCATGGACACGTCTGTGTCCCCACTGAGAAGACTAAGGGTCATTCATTCATTCATACCCTCGTCCACTCCTCCACCCTGATTGCCTTCTTCCTACTGTCCCTGTTGCCTAACCCCAGCTCCGGCTCTGCAGTGGAGCAGCCCATGGGGGAGCAGGAACAGGAGCAAAGACATGCACAAGGGGAAGGTCACACAGCAAGAACCCGAGTGTGGGTGTCACTTCAGCCCAGCCATGTACCTGTGTCCTCTGATCAGTGGCTCACTCTTATCCCAATTCTTTGAGAATCCTGAGTCCTCAGTCTACTCCCATGCTAGCTCTGGAGAAGAGGAGCTATTAAATTAAAATTTAATTCAAATTAAACAGTAGAATGACCCAGAGGGACTCAAAGCCCATGGAGCAGAAGCCTGAGAAAGCAAAGTCTTCCTGACAAATTTCCCCAGCTGAAGAAAAGACAGGATGCACAGATGAGGCCATGGTCATTGAGACCCTGCAGACCCTGTCAAATGTCACCACCATGACCGTGGAAGAGTCAGCACCTGTGTCCACAGGGAGGGACCCCAACTGCCAATCAACGGGCTCCAGGACAGATTTCTGAGACATCTCAGCCGACGCCTCCTGAAAGCTGCCTCCACCTGGCTAGACCAAGGGCACCCCAGGCAGCTTGGTTGTACCTGTCCCAAGGCAGCTTTAGCTCCCACTAGGCAAGGGAGAGACTAGGACAGCACTAAGGAAGAAGCCAGATGCCACTTGCCATCCCCATCAGGCAGATGAGGGCCGAGAGCTGTGTCCTGTGCCCTGGTGCTGGCCAAGCTCCCCACAGGAGCTTGGGGCAGTGACAGCCCCTCTTGACTCCAGGAGTCCTGCTCTCCAACCCTCCCAGCAAGTTTGAAATAGCTTTGGCACAAAGTCTCTGCCTTCCTGAATCCTTCAGAGCCTCAGCTTGCTCATCTGGAGGATGGTAAACTTCAGAGGTGGGACTAGATTTGCCAGGCTTCAGCATGGCATTACATGGATGTCACTTTTGAAAGGATTGTCTGTGATGGGCTTGAATCTGCTCCACAATCCCTCCTGCCCTTGAAGAGTATGTTCCAGGGAGACGCTTTGAGATGAAGTTGATGGCCTGTTTCATGTCAGACTTTCACATGTTGACTGTTAGAGCCTGAATCAGGTGGAAATTGCTTTGGCAGGACAAGCTTGCCCCTCCCCCTTCATTTTCATATTAATAATCTCCCAGTTTTCATGTCATACTGTGATTTTCTGATCTGTTACTGTGACTATTTATTTTGGTGGGAAATTGTCCCAGATTCGTCTGTAGTCAGAACCCATACCTGATCTACATTTCCAACCTGTTCAAGAATAAATTGGCCCAAAGGTATTAATTCTGTGCACCCCATGCCACCTGCATAGCCCCGAGTGCACTGACAGAGGTGACAGAGGCATCCGTGGGTTCTTCCACCCACACGTTCATTGTGCGCATGTGAGACCAGGTCCCTTTCCTCATCTACATGCAGATCTGGTTAGGGGGTTGTCCCAGGGGAAATGGAAGGACAGGACAGGGATGGATGGGTCCTACTTGGAGGGACCCCTGCAGCCACATGTCTGGGGCCCCGCCTTCCAGGCCTGCATGCCCCCTCCCGCACTGCCCTTCGCCTTTCCATTTCCTGGCCAGCTCCTGCCTCCTGCAGAGCCCACCCTGTGCCCTCCTCCACACCCCAGGGCAACCCAACCCAGCAGAGCTGAGCTGCCAATCTCCCCAGGCCCACCCGCTGCCCCTCCATACCCCACCTCTTCTCACTCCTTTGTTTCCTGTGCAGCCTCTGTTGCCTCTGGGCATCCTTCCCCTGGCCAAGCATCCTGTGGGTGTGGGACAGGCCCACCCAGACTGCCCAGAACCCTGTACCAAGAGGGAGCAGCTCTTCTCTGATGCTAGCAACCCCTTCCCTGTGCTGAGTGGAGGTGGAGACTGGGGGGGGAGGGGCGGCTTATTGATCTGTGAGTCCTTTCTGTGCTATTGAGTTACTGGGGCCTCATTTCCTGGGGACCAGCTTGGGGGAGATGGACAGGTGATCTCCTTCCGAGAACCTAGTCACTACAGTCGGCTCTTTCAGGTTCTACCCATGGGGATGCTGCTGACCCCTTTCTGGTCCCCACCCTTGGTGTTTATGTGGTCACCGGACTGAGCCCCCCCTTGCCCCTCCCATGGCAGTCCCTCTCCCAACCTGAGTGTGCTCTCTCTGGGTCCCCCAGGCCTCCTTTGCAAGGACCCAGTCTCTGTCAGGGCACTGCCCACCACCAACCTGGGCCTGTTCCATGGCCGGGGATGGTCCCCAGTGCTGGAGGGAGACTATTATGGTTTGGATAATGGTTTCTCCTACTAAGATTCATAGCTTTGAATTTAAATGTCCCTCAAAATACATGTGTTGGAACTTAACTGAATCATAAATATGTTTAGTGAAAATTAATTCCTTTATTGTGTCTCAGGGCTGTAGAGGTGGGGCACGTTGGCCATGACAATCTCGTTGGCACAGGGCGCAGTCACAGGTCTTTCTGTGAGCAAGGCAATAACAGACTACATCAGAGACCAGCACCGGGAGAGCACTGGATCCTGCCACATAAAGAGATACCCCCTAGCCTGGCCTTCAGAGTACCGAACGCAGCTTTGGCCTCCAAGGGTTAGTGGTCCTGGCAGCCTGGATGGAGGGAATAGTTCCTGGATTCCAACCCACTACCCAGCAAGAGCTCTATTCACATCAGACTCCTCCTGCCTGGAGACCAGTAGGGAGGGAGAGGAGCGTGTTCCCCTGAGCAGGGAGGGATGCACCTGGTTGGCACCCAGGTGGTCCCAGGGCATCCCTCAGAAGTCTCTGGCCTGGTTGTGACAGCCTGCATGAGACAGCCAGCACAGCTAGGAGGACACAGTGAGCAGGCCTGGGCCCTTGTGGCTGAAGGCCTAGACCCAGTGGGCAGAGGGCGAGGTGCCTGCCTGAGTGTTGGGACAGGAAGTGATGCTGTGGGGGCCTCGCCAGCCCATATCCAGTGCCCTGGCAAGGCTGCTCCCAATTCGACCTATGGAGCAGGTACTCCAGGGAGGAGGCCGAAGCCAGCACCACTGAGCTGCGTCCTCACTTGGGGCTGCCCTCACCCAGGCCCATTCCTTAGTGGTCTCTACAACCACCTCAGAGACAAAGTCTTTTTACATCTGGTGCCTTCATTCTACAATGCAGGCTTTGTGATTCTTCAGGTGTGGGGAGGCCAGCAGACAAGCCCCGAAGAGAATTAAACAACCCACTGAATGGTTTATTGCTCACAGTTTGCAGGAGAAGGAGCAGTTCATACCATAAAGGACCCATGGGGAAGCAGATGGGTTTCCAGGAGGCAGAGGGGTCATGGGTCAGAGCCTTCATAGTGCTTTTCATGAGAAAGCCAAGGTGAACTGGTGAGCAGGGCTGGGATTGGCCAGTTCAAATCACATCAGAGGGCTCTGGGGTGCAGGGCCTGTGGGCCCTGTGCTGATTGGGGGGGATAGTGCTCCAGGGTGTACGAGTGCAGTGGAGGAAAAGGCGTGTGTACACAGTACGGGCTGCTACGTGTTTCCCCCCTATAATTGGCTGGTCCAGGGAGGACAGCGTACCCGAGGAGATTAAGGGCCCGATGTCCAAATGTCTAAATAAAATGAATGCGTCCAACTGGCACCCTGTCCTGGCCTGCTGATTACTGCCAGGCGGAGCTCCTGGCAGACTCTCAGACCACCTCTCATGGAGCCCAGGTCGGGGTGGCCCTCAGGAAGACTGGATCTGGAGACCTGTGGAACTCTCCAGTGGGCAAGTCAGGGGCGATACCCACCAGAGCCCTTCCTGCAGCCTCAGTGCCCATGAGCGCCTGGGGGCTGTGGGGCTGTCTGCAGAGCCTCTACTCCACACACTGCAATGCTTTTAAACCCACTGAGACTTGCCTACCCGTACGCCCTCTGCCTGGTTGGGACCTGTGAGAATGCATGAAGAGTGCGCGTAGTGCCACTGTGGGGGGGGCTCCTGTAAACACCAGGGAATGAGACGACTGACTGATATTGGCATCCACAGTATTCTGGGCTTTTTGGGTTTTTGTTTTGTTCTGTTTTGTTTTTAATTTTGCCATAGTGCACACTGGAGAGGGACAGAGAGACAGTGAGAGGAAAAGTAAGAAATCACCCCCTGGATAAAATGATCATGATAATCCCTTCTCTTCCATTCTCCTCCCGGGATTTTGGGCACACACACACACACACACACACACACACACATACTCAGCATGATTTTCAAGCTGCCAGGTCCATGACGCAAACCATGGCCGGCAATGTGGGAGTCTAACACTTTAACTACCCTGACACCTGCTGACCTCTGCCATCAAGGCTCTCTACATCCTTGTTGGACACCGGTCTGCTGGTTCTATCAGTGCTTGAGTGAGGACTAGGAAACTTCCTGTGTTTGTGCTTTGAGAAACCGCTCCTGCTGATCCTGTGGGTGTTCCCTGAGTTACTGTGAAGCTTTGCTGTCAGGTGAACACAACATTATGATTGTCGCACCTTCTTGGTCAATCGAGCCCTTCATCGTGTTTAGTGACCCCTTTCGTACTGGGTCACATTCCTTTTTCCGATGTACACTTTGTGTGCTATTAATACACTCTTAATCGGTGTTTCCTGTTTAATCTACGTGAATCTTTCATTTAGGATGAATTTCTTGTAGACAGCATGTAGTTCTGCAGTCCGCCAGTCTATGCCTTAAGATTGGAAGGCCTGGACCACTTCCATTAACATGTAGACCCTTGTTACGCTTCCATGACTAGTCGCTATCTTCACTGCTAACTTTCTGTTAGGAGTTGCTAAAACCATGGCCATTGGACATGCATCTCACTGTTTTCTAAATTCCAAGTTAAAAGGACTGACATTGCATGTATTCCCCACAGATAAAAATGTCAAAAGAAAACGGGTATTAGAAACGGAAGGAGAGACTTGATGTGAACGCTGCAGGCATTTGGGAGTCTATAAAAGGAGTCATGTTATATTCAAGACACTTTCAGAAGACATATTTTGACAGAAGAGCTCCAAATATCAAACTCAAATGGAGTTATCCTTCGATCTTTGATTCTCCATATCACTTACAGGGAAAAGAGAAAAACTAACTTCATTGTAGAAAAATCTTCACCCTCAAAACCCTTCCAGCCACAAATCACAATCACCAGCTAGTTGGTACTTCCTCACGTATTGCAGAATTGCAATCCCAGTTCATTTCTGAACACAGCTACAGTGTAATGGACAGGCCAAAGAAACTTACACATAAATTAGACCATGTGATCAGTGAGCTAGAGGATACCAAGGAAGGTCTACGGAATGTTTCAGACTGAGAGAACTGTTTTCAAGAATCACCGAGGAAGACAATCAGGGAATTAAAGGATGACTGTCTGATCAATCAAGAAACAGCAAATAGCTGGATGCTTTCCGTTGGGCGTGTTGTCAGGAGAATATAGAATGAGACTATGTTTCATAAAATAATTAATGTTATGTCTACCTAAAGTTGACACTGGTACAGCTCTTTAGAAAATAATTCTTATTTACCAGGACCAGTAGTTGGTGTAATGGCTATGTCGCTGGACTCACATGTAGTCGATTGCGGTTTGAGTCCCAGACCCAGTGGTTTAAACTCATGCCGGGCATGTATGCGTGCGTGCCCAAGATCCCGAGAGGAGAATGGAGAAGGGATTGTGGCACGGCCATCCCCTCCAGGTGGGTGATTTCTTGCTCTCTGTCTCTCTGTCTCTCTCTGTCTTTCTGGTGAGCGCATGTGCCCTATAGAAAAAAACCTCTCCAAAAAAATAAATAAACAAGAAAATAATTCTCATTTATCATTGCTAAGTAATATCCAACATTTAAAATGCTTCTTTAAATCCTCTGGAGCATTATACATTGAAGTTGTTATTCATACTCTTTTCTTTTTTTATTATTCTAATTTATTTTATACATTCAATTGTTGTATATCACTAGTTTGTAAAATGAATTACCCAACATGAATACACTTTACACAAGTCCAGTTGAAGATACCATACGTTATCATCTACAGACAATCTTCCATTTCTGTGTCCCCTAAGGGGGACACAGTATCTTCCCTCTCTCATTGATTCCTTCCCCCCCCCCATTGCCATACTCTTTTTGAAGATGTGCAAAAATGTGTGGTAGTGGGACCAGTAAATGGCATAATGGTTACATTGTG